AGTATTTCAGACTTATTTGTTTTGATAAAAAAAAAAAACTCTTCATAATCATCAAATTGGTTGCAATTTGATTTGGATCAATCTTCGACCTCACTCAACCGTTGGTGCTGATACCACTTGTTAGAATAACATGGCATCATACAAAATCTAAGCATAACAAACCTTTAACGGCGAACAATTAAAAAAAAAACACTAAAGAGGACAGAGAACTTATTATAAACCTTTAACGGCGAACAACAAAAGAAAAACACTAAAGAGGACAGAGAACTTATTACATCTTGGTCAATTGACCAATACGAAGAAGGCTTAATATTGTAAAAGAAGCATAAAACTATCGAGAAAATAATTTCCCCCTCCCTCCCAAAAAAAAACATATTTTTTAACTCTAAAGGACAACATAGCAGTTATTGTGTTCTCATAGATGAAAGGGATAAGACACAAGTACCTCCTAGATTATGATCAAAATCTCAGAGACACACATAAACTTAACTAGAGTCATATTACCCCCTAAACTAATTTAAAATGAAATAAATACACCACAAACGCTGACATGACATCTTGAAGGCAAGTGATGAGTGCACAAATTGGACACATGTCATTTTTTGATTGGTAACTTTATAATTAGTTAGTACACATATTTATTGATATTAAAACTTATATATATATAATTATTTTTATTTCTTTCTTTGTTAAATATTTATTTTAATTTCTTTTCACTTTAAACATTTTTTTAATTAATTTATTATCTTTTCACTTTTAATTATTTTTTAAAAATAATTTAAAAGTGTCCTTTAATTTTTTAATTTTTTAGTTGATTTTTCTTCACTTATTTTGATATCCATTCAAAATTAACTTATTTTAAATACAAGACATTTTGAATTAAATTTGAAATCAAATCAAAATGAAAGACAAAGAAAATAAAATCATTAGAAAAAATAATGAATGTAGGTAAAAAGAAAGTTTCGATACAAGGTAAAAAATATGTATTAACTTAATTTAAATACAAGATAAATAAAATAAAAATATTTTTAACAAATTCAAAATTTAATTTTTTAAAAAAATAAGAAATATTTTAATTTTTTTAAAAAAATATATTAATTTTTAATTAAAAGAAATTACACACGTGACGAGCGAGTATGTACAAACACAACCAACTTGGGTGGTTGAAGGTGCCACGTCATCACAAAAGGTGCACAAAAATACGAAAAAAATGAATTCAAGGGCGTAACAGGACCTTGTTATGTTTAGGTGTGTCTCTGGAATTTCGGTCATAGTTTAGGGGGATACTTATGCCTTATCCCTATATGAAAATAAAAGATTTTCTATTTATAGTAGTTCAAGACTTCTTCTCTAAGAAAAAATATAGATTTATAGAAAGTTATGTTCCATCAAGAATTTTTTTTGAATTAAAACACAATTATAGTAGAATCCAAATAAGGTAGAAAATTAAAGGCAAGTCCTAACATAGAGAACTTTATGAGTTCTGAAAACGAACTTATATCTTGAGATTCTTTTTTATCTTAAAGATAAAACTTGTGTTTTACAAATCTTTTATCTTGTAAAGCATAACTTGTGCCTCATAAATTCCTTTTGCGTTGCGATTCTTTTTTTTTTTCAATATCAAGGTATTTTAAACCTATTGGGAAGTAGGAGAACATATACACAGTTTTGATGATTGATAAAGTGAGCATGGTTCACTACTTGTTTTCTTATATGTACTTATCAGGTGAACCAGGTCCCCAGACGTGAATGCAACCAGTTTGTACAAATATGAGAGATTGCGGTAAAGAAAGAAACTAATAAAGTGCAAAAATAAAGGAGTGAAAAAGAAAAAAAGAAATAGCTGCAACAAAGGAGCAAAGAAGGAAAGAAGGGAAAAAAATAAAGAAATAAAGAGTATTAAGTCCAAAGGGGAGTCAAAGTTTCATTACAGGATGAAACTTCTTTTAAAGAAGGAAATTAGTCAAAGTTTCCTTTTAAGAAAGGATTTCCTTTTAGGAAGACAACAAGTTCTATGTGAATTAAAAGTCCTAGTCTGTGATACACTAGGGCATGACAAATCTCCAATATAAATATATGACATGAAGATCATTGAAAGTCGCACCTATTGCATATTCACGAAAGTCATCATCTTGAGAGCAATAGCCATTGGAGCAAAACTGCAAGGCTTCGTCACAACAACACTGGAACCAGGTTCATGAGTTGTGGTCGAGTCTGAACTGTTGAATGTTGAAGTCTGATCAATTAAAGTCTAGGGTTATTAGTCTTTGTTAATTTGTTCTAGGTTTATCATTGAGTTGTAATAGTTCCAAGATTGAAAAACAAGGAGTGTGTTTGACTTCTTGAAGAGAATTTGTGAAAATTGTAACAAGAAGTGGGTTTGACTTCTTGAAGAGAATTTGTGAGAGTTATAACAAGAAATGGGATTGACTTCTTGGTGAGTAGAGAAAATGGTTATACTTAATCGTTAGAGATAATTGTAACAAGAAGTAGGTTTGACTTATTGGAGAGTAGAGAAAACTGTAATAGTTAATCGTTAGAGAGAATTGTAACAAGAAGTGGGTTTGGCTTCTTGGAGGGTAGAGTATTCAATTATAGTTAATCATTGAACACTTTGATTGAACTGTTGAGGTGGGGTACTAGAGTTAGTCCCTTTGAATATAGAGTTGTAATCTAAAGTTGTTCTTTAAAGTTAGTGAAGTTTGGTGAAATCCTACGAGGTGTAGGTCGTGGTTTTTTATTCCCTTGAGCAAGAAAATTTTCTAATTAATTAAGTGTTATTTACTTTTTGTTTTAATACAACTCTAGTAACCAGATTCCTAGAAATACGGTTGGTGCGTAGTTTCTTTCAATAACCTTTCTTTATTGCAAAAATTAGAGAAGAGTCCAAAATAGAGTATTCCTGCGAGTGACCCTTATTAACATATGAAAATTTTGAGTTGTTACTCGGATTAGAATTTGCATCATCTTGGAAAGTCAATTCATGCACCCAAAACAAATGGTTTTGCTTGCTTGTTTTTTTGCCAGTGTGGTAACATTGGCAGTAACCACGGCCCAAACCAACACTAATACAACTTACACCATCTCTAAAGGTGCCATAGTCACAAAACCAGGATGCGCTAAGCAGTGTGGAAACGTTACGGTTCCATACCCATTCGGTATTGGCTCAGATTGCGCCTTTAATGTGAGGTTTGAGCTCGACTGTAACACATCTGATGATGGTTCTCAGAAACTCATCCTAGGAGAAAACATTGTGGTGTACGACATCTCCGATGCTGAATTCCGCATCTCCAATTCATTCGGTTGGAGATGTTACAACTCCAGTGGAGCTGTGATCGATGAATCACTCGGTTGGACCACACTTTTAGAATCTGGTCCCTATAGTTTCTCTGCGCTGAACAGGCTTACTGTAGTTGGTTGCGATGACTATGCTTCCATCACAGGGCCTAATAACTTTGAGTATGGCTGCAATGTCAGCTGTACAAGCAGAGGGGATGTGATAGAAGGAGAGTGTATTGGAAAAGGCTGCTGCCAGAAACAGATACCCAAGGGGTTGAAATCCTATAACACAACCATGTCTAGCACAGAAAACCATACCGATGTTTGGTCGTTTAATTCATGTGGGTATGCATTTCTGGGCGAGGCAGATAGCTTTCATTTCCAGGGCTTGCCAGATCTAGGTGGTGATCTAACTGTTGATTATTTTTATGAGAGGATTAAGGATAGTGTCCCCATTGTGCTGGATTGGGCCATCGGGAGTCTTACTTGCACTCAAGCTCTGAAAATCGAGAATTATGCTTGCAGTGAAAATAGCTACTGCATTGATTCCGATACTGGTCTTGGTGGCTACCGCTGCAGCTGTAATACAGGCTATCATGGCAATCCTTATCTCAATCAAGGATGCCAAGGTATTTTTATAGGACCATTTCCCAATGAAAGCAGCTTTATGCTCCATTTGATCAAATCACAAGCTTTGATATAATGGTGTTCTATTTATTTGTTTTTTCCAGATATTGATGAATGTGCTGATCCAAGCACCAATTCGTGTGAAAAGAACTGCACAAACATCCTGGGGAGTTTCTATTGTTCTTGCCCCAATGGATATACTGATGATGGCAAAAAGGATGGTCGTGGTTGTATTCCTCCCGACTATGATCAAGAGTTCCCATGGATCAAGTTCTCTGTAGGTATATATCTTGGAAAACTTTCATAACCACAAATATCCATTTATGTGATAGTTATTTGACTGGGCATACTGTTTAGTAAAGGATTTTTTTTAAAAAAAAAAGAAAAATTGTGGTTCAAATTATCTAGAAACATCTGTGTAGCTATAAATAATCTCATTAGGGGTAAAATTATAAGTCTAAAGTTAAATTATTTTGGAATATGTAAAATGTCATTCTTCTTTTAGGATGACTAAAAAAATTATCACAGAATATTATTTTCTGTGCTAGAGAATTACTGGAGTGGGGAGCTAGGAGTTATATATATTTCAAACAATTTTTGCAAACTTGTTTCTTTATTTAATCAAACTTTGAGATTTACATGTTTCTCGTATTACTTTTGCTTCCCCGTATTTCTTATAGAGAATTAAAAGAACTCCAAATTTTGGTATTTATACTGATGATTATGGTCTAAGACCAAGATCAAACTCAACTCTTTTTCTTCTGAAATCCGGACTATGTTTGAATTATACATAATATGTTTGAAGCTATGAAAGTTAAATTCCACTAATTATTCAGGTATTGGAATCGGCTTTATCTCCTTAGTGGTTGGGATAACCTGGCTCTATTTCAGCATCAAGAAAAGAAAATTGATTAGAGTCAGAGAGAAGTTCTTCCAACAAAATGGTGGTTTATTATTGAAACAGAGAATCTCCACTAACGAGGGCGGTGTGGAAGCTACAAGAATATTTACAGCTGAGGAGCTCAAGAAAGCTACAAACAATTATGCCAATGATAGAATTCTTGGTCGTGGTGGGAATGGGATTGTATATAAAGGTGTGCTACGTGACACTCGCATAGTTGCCATTAAGAAATCTAGAATTGTGGACGAGAGTCAAATAGACCAATTTATCAATGAAGTGGTCATTCTTACTCAAATCAACCATCGAAACGTGGTAAGATTTGTTGGGTGTTGTTTGGAAGATGAAGTTCCTTTACTGGTTTATGAGTATGTCTCTGAAGGAACTCTTTACGAGCACATTCACGACCAACGTGGAGCGGGTTGGTTAACTTGGCAAAACCGTTTGAGAATTGCAGTAGAGATAGCCACTACACTTGCTTACCTTCACTCATTTGCGTCCATGCCTATAATTCATAGGGATGTTAAGTCTGCCAACATATTGTTAGATAATGTTTACACAGCTAAAGTGGCAGACTTTGGGGCTTCAAAGTTAATTCCTCTGGATCAGTCACATGTGGCTACATCAGTTCTAGGGACATCAGGGTACTTGGATCCTGAATATTTTCGTACAAGTCAACTGACTGAGAAAAGTGATGTTTACAGCTTTGGAGTACTTCTGGCAGAACTTTTGACAGGGTTGAAACCTGTAATTAGAGATGGAAACGATGAGCAAAAGAATTTGGCTGATTATTTTGCTTCATCCATGAATAAGAATCGCTTATTTCAAATTCTTGATCGTCGTGTTTTGCAAGAAGGGAATTTTGAGCAACTTCAAAAGATGGCTGAGCTGGTGAAGAACTGTCTTCACTTGCAAGGAGAAGATAGGCCTACAATGAAGGAAGTGGCTATTGAACTTGAAGGTTTGAGGACGTTTACTGGAATCTCTTCGTTTAATCAACATGGACAGAGAGATAATAATCAGGATGAATTATCAGATCTTTACGCAGTTCACTTAGACTCCATACCCCCAATTTAGATAGTTCTCACACAATGCATCCTACATACAGTCCAAGTTGATGTTATGTAGACTCCTTTCCTTTTTCCTCTCAATTTAGATTTTTCTTTAAGATACAATGTTGGAGATTTTTGCAGATATCATATATAGAACCTTTTGATGATAAGCATCCATTTTTATTGCCAGTAAAACCGATTAAATTGTTTTCGGGAAAAAAATCATTGTCCTAGCAGCAAATTTAAGGTGCATTCTCTTCTCGTAAAATATTGAAGTTTTAGCAGCAATTGTAATGGCAATTAACGCTATATTTTGATATATTTTTTTTCCCTTTCATCAAATTTGTCCCGCCTATTCTTTAGGATTCAAGTTTTCATAGTTAGAGAAACTTGAAACACCACTTCAGGAAGTCCCAGGACAGATTATATCAAAAGTTTATGAAGAGTGAATTAGGGGTCTGGAAAGAGGATTTCTTTTTTCGACCTATATGGTGTTGGTTCATTAAGCGAGAACCTACAATCTCTTGAGTTTGAAGTACTCAAAAACTTGATCATTTTCTGCTTAGATTTCTGATACAAGCAGATAGTTTAGATACAACACTTATAAGATAACTACCCCTGGAAACTAGGACATGACTTCTTAATTAATGGAATGAGAAACTGCAATTTACTATCGAGAAATAACACTACTACTAGAATGAAAACTGCAAATAACTACTAGAAAGAATTAACTACAGCAAGTAAATACTACTACTACTACTACTGTTAACAATTGGGAGACTAAGGAGTGATAAGAATGCAGTAGTACTTACAAGTTACAATAGAGGTTTGGATCAAGGCAGCAATGAAGAGCAAGACGTCTTCCTGTTTCCTTCCGAATAAAAGTGTAGATGAGCTTGCCTAGAGAATTCAAAGAATTCATTGTTCCAAAATTGTCCATTAGTATAATAAATATTGACTGAAGTCAACTAACTGCTCATTCCGATATCAGGTGAACATGCATCTGAGAAATGTACCCTTTTGGACAGCTAAAGGCAAAATGTTTTTCATTACCTATAGTATTTCTAATATAACTGGATTTTGTTGTTTCAGTAACTATGGTTGGTACAAATGACATAAATTTTGTTCAAGGTAACGAAATAAGTACTCAATCAATTTTTCGAGATAATCCAGAAGAAAACCTTTAATGAAGTATCAACAAGCAAATTCAAGAGAAGTGAGCATTTGTTTATAAGTTTCCATCCAAATAATGGATAATTGGAGTCTGGAATTATAATTGTTTCTCTAGTTTAGTTTGTGCTAGAGGTTTGTAAAATTGAGACATGGAGCCATTAACACTTGGCTTTCACTTGGAATTATGTTTTTGGAAAATGCAAATTATGTGGAGGTTAACCACATATCTCAAACACTTCCTATAAGTACTAACCATGACTGAGGAACGATTACAAGACCTAAAAGGATTAAAAAACTTCTAGGTGCTCCTTGAGTGTAAACTCATTATCATCCCTGACAAAGAAAATATGCATATTGATTCAGAAATGCAAGCAACGTACCATTAATAACTTCAGGAACTTTCTTACAGGCCTCGATATAAACTTCGAATAAGCTCCTGGATGCATCAAAAGCAGGAAAAGATCACATTGTCACTCAACATAAACACATGGAAAGGAGGAACTAGTGTTCAACACTGCCGCTGCAAGGGCAATTGATAGGATGTGAGATAAACTAAACAGCACAAACAAGAATCGCAATTGAAAACTCCATGCCTCATACCTCGTTTCGCACACAGATCAGAGGAATTCAACGTACTTTTCATAACAAGAGTGATTGAATTGATTGTTAACCTTGAGATATTGGTTTTTGACGCAAATTCAGAAGAAATTCGCAATTGTAATTTTAATCAAAACAATTTGTTTTTGTTAAGCACCAACAATGGTGAATGAATGAGAAAACAGTAAGCTAAGAAGAAGAGAGAAAAGTGAAGTTTCATTCAGTTCATCATGACTGCAGTAGTAGTTTACAATGATACCTATACATCACTATATAAAGGTGTGTATCAACTAACTAACTAGACTAGTTAAGTTACCTAACCACAGTTAATCATAACTAACTTCTGTAACTACTTATTAACAAACTTGTAACTAACTTTTGCCCTTTACACTTTAGCTCAACACCCCTCCTCAAGCTGATGGCTGAAAGATGTCTTTCAATCCCAGCTTGGACATTAAGTGTAGATGTGGAGCTTTCCAAAGCCCTTTAGTAAGTAAGTCTGCTAGTTGATCCCTTGTTGATACATGTTGAGTCTTGATCATATGTTGTAATATCTTTTCTCTAACAAAGTAGCAATCAATATCAAAATGCTTGGTTCTTTCATGAAAAATGGGATTAGATGCAATTTGAATTGCAGCTTTGCTGTCACAAAACAGATCTACTAGTTGTTTAATGCTGACTCCTAACTCCTTGTATAGCCCAATGAGCCATGTGATTTCAGCTACTGCTGATGCCATGCTCCTGAACGCAGCTTCAGCAGAACTCCTAGCAACAGTCTCTTGTTTCTTCGATTTCCAAGAGATAATAGCATCACCAAATTTTACAAGATAGCTTGTGATAGATTTCCTTGATTGCACACAAGTACCCCAATCTGACTCACAGTAGGTAGTTAGTAATTCTGAGCTTTGTGAAGGCATAAACAGGCCTAACCCTGGAGCTGTTTTAATATATCTGACTACCCTGAGAGTTGCTTCCATGTGAGACTCTTTTAAAGCATGCATATATTGACTCAAAACTTGAACAACAAATGATATGTCTATCCTGGTCATAGTGAGATATAATAATCTCCCTACTAACCTTTGATATCTCCCAATATCCTTCAAAGACTTGTCTGCCTATATGATTCCTGAATCACCTTGCACATGTGAATCATATTCAATGGAAATCAGCCTTACATTAGGATCTAGTGGAGTGTGAACTGGTTTTGCACCACTTAATCCCATCTCAGAAATAAGTTCCAAGGCATATTTGCGCTGGTTCATAACATACCCCTCCTTGGACCTAGCAAATTCAATGCCAAGAAAGAATGTTAACTCCCCAAGATCCTTCATGTTGAACTTGAGCTGAAGATCATTCCTGGTTTGAACAATCAAGGAATCACAACTCCCAGTAACAAGAAGATCATCCACATACACTAGGACCACAACCAGGTTAGTACCAGTCTGCCTAGTGAATAGAGAGTAGTCATAGTGATTCTGAACAAACCCAAGCTGAAGTAATGCCTCAGTTAACTTCAGATTCCACTGTCTAGGGGCCTGCTTGAGACCATACTGTGATTTGTGAAGCTTACAGACTTTAGTAGACTCCTCAAACTTAGTAAAACCAGATGGAACCACCATGTATACATCCTCAAGGAGATCACCCTGTAAGAGATCTCCTATAAGAAAGCATTATGAACATCCATCTGAAAAATAGGCTAATGTTTAGCAGCAGCAACAACCAAAACTGATCTAATTGTGACCATTTTAGCAACAGGGGAAAAAGTTTCAGTATAGTCTATCCCCTCCTTCTGACTGAACCCCTTGGCTACTAATCTAGCCTTGTACCTCTCAACAGCTCCTGAGGCCAAATATTTGACCTTAAACACCCATTTACAACCAATAGGATGCTTGCCAGGAGGAAGGTCAACAATGCTCTATGTGTTGTTGGCCTCCAAAGCACTGATTTCAACCTTCATGCCACAACCCATTGAGGATGGGAAGAAGCCTCAGTAAATGATGTAGGCTCATAGACAGAGGAGTAAGCAGTAAATGCAGCATCATAGGAAGTAGAGAGAAGATCATAGGACACATGGTTGGAGACAGGGTATAAACAAGCAGACCTAGACTTAGGAGTGATAAAATCAGTCGTCCATATAGGAGGTTTAGTTGGTCTAGAGGATTTTCTAAGACCAACAGACTTAGGTGTAGGAATGGGAAGTGGAGGAAGTGGCACAGGAGAACTGGACTCAGAGTCCAGGATTCAAAGACAAGTCAGAAGTCTCAGTGAGAGCCTGATAACACAAAGGGATCTCTGTACAAGGTAAGTCTGTGGAAGTAGAAGTATCTCATGTAAATTGGAGCTCAGGAAAAAGAGGAGAACTGGAAGGACTCATATGCTGAAAAGGAAAGATGGATTCTTTAAACACAACATCTTTGCTGACAAAGAAAGTTTTGGTATGTAAACTATAAAGTTTGTAGCCCTTTTGAAGACTAGAATAACCAAGAAACACAGCTGGAACAGCTTTTGACGCAAATTTGTCAGTCTGCTTTACCTCAGAAGCAAATGCAAGACAACCAAACACTCTAATATGATCAAGAGAAGGGAGTGTTTGATACAACAGGTTATGAGGAGTTTTACCCTTAAGAACTGTGGAGGGTATCCTGTTTATTAAGTACACACTAGTGAGAACACATTCTCCCCAAAATCTGAGAGGAAGGTGAGACTGAAATCTCAAGGATCTGGCCATCTAAAGAACATGTCGATGTTTTCTCTCTACAACCCCATTCTGTTGTGGGGTATAAGTGCAAGAACTCTAATGCAATACACCCAATGTCTTAAGTAAATCAGAAACTTGGGAGTTAAAAAACTCACAACCATTATCAGATCTCAACACTTTGATGGTGCTGGAAAAAACATTGTTAATCATTGTAAAGAAGTTCTGTAAAAGCTACTATAACCTCAGATTTAGAGTTCAACAGTAATAGCCAAGTATATCTAGAGTAATCATCAACCAAGGTAAGGAAATATCTTTTATTGTCATGAGTAGGAACTCTATAGGGACCCCACACATCAGCATGTAATGTATGAAAACAAGTTGATGTAGTGGTAGTACTTAAGGGAAAAGGTAATCTGGCTTGCTTAGCCAAGGGACACACAGTACATATATCAGTAAAGGAAGAACAAATATGTTTGCAACAATTAAGTGTTCTCAGTACACTAACATGTACATGACCCAACCTTTGATGCCATAAAACCAAGTTGTTAGGTCTAGTA